TGATGTGTGTGTGTGTCTCTCTCTTCCCCTTCTTTTATCCCTCCCTCTAAAAAAATCAATGGAAAAAATATGCTTGGGTGAGGATTAGCAAAGCAATAAAACACATATTCTGCACACCCCAGGACCTGGTGCTTTTCCTGGCTAGCATTTTTGGCTCAGTAAACCCTTTCAGAAAAACTTTCTGCCTCAAAGGTTATTGTTTAATAAGCATATGGGCCCTGGCCCAGGTAACTGAGTTGGTTAGAGCCATTGCCGGGATACTCCAAGGTTGCAGGTTCAATCCCGGATCAGGGTACATACAAGAATCAACCAGTGAATGCATAAATAAGTGGAAAAACAAATCAATGCTTCTCCTTTTTTCTCTCTCCCTCTCCTCCTTTCCTCTTTCTCTAAAAATCCAGGAATAAAATTTTTTTAAAAAGGAGGCACAATCATATGAGTCCATTCATATTAGTGATTGTGATTTTATGGAAATGTTGTCAACCTATGTGATTTATTCCAACACATTTACCTTCATGGACTCGTGTACATGTCAGATAGTTTGTCATGTTTATATGTGACCACACAGGTAGAATCTTAGGGGGGTGTAAGGTGAGGAGTATTTCGTAGAGAGAACCCCAAGGGGACAAGGAGAAAGTCAAGGTGCTGTGAGATAATGAGGCCACCTGGGCATCAAAGCGTCAGAGAAATCCATCATATTGGAGAATTTCCAGGTGAGGGAGAGGAGAGGAAGTGATGAATGGTAACTGCAGTGTGGTAAGAGAATGGGGTTCTGGATCATGTTTTGGGGTCTCAGATGGCAGTGGTGACAATGGACAGGCTACAATCATGGAAGTCGGTAACTTATGGGGAAGAGAAGAACAGGACACTGTGGGTGAAGAGAGCTGTGAGCCGGGGGCACCTGTGGATCACCTCTGGGCACGTTAAAATCTGCAGGAGTAGCCCAGCCGGTGTGTCTCAGTGGTTGAGCATCAACCTATGAACCAGGAGATCACGGTTCGATTCTGGTCAGGGCACATACCCAGGTTTCGGGCTTGATCCCCAGTGTGGGTGTGTGCAGGAGGCAGCCAATCAGTGATTCTCTCTCATTATTTATGTTTCTATCTCTCTCTCCTTCTCCCTTCCTCTCTGAAATCAATAAATATATATATATATTTTTAAATCTGCAGGAGTTAACATGAAGAGGCAGAGTGAGACAGCAGCTGGATCTTCAATGATGGTAGAAAGAGAGCAAGAAGGGTGGGAGGGGCAGCAACCAGGAGAAAACTACTGAGCCAAATGAATTTTTTTTAAATTTTATTTTAGAGACGACATAGGAAGGGGAGAGAAAGAAACATGGATTTGTTGTTCCACTCATCTGTGCCCTGACTGGGGCAAATCGCTAAGGCAATAGGGGACAAACAAGAACATCCTAAAGGAGACCAAGTTTGTGAAACCCAAATTTATTTCTATTTAAAAATGCTCAAGAAACTTTAAAAAGGCCCAAAGGCCCAAAAGCACAAAGGCATCCAGGTTTAATTTCAGATCATCCTGGCTTGGCGTACTTCCGTTCCTCCTTTTGTGAGGCATCGATTTGATCCTTGTTAATGAGACACCTCGGCAATTCTAGTTGGATCGTGGTGACATCTTGTGACTCCCGGTATCTGTCCTAAGTGGCCATCAGGTTATGAACGATGAGAAACGTAAGACCAGAAATAATCACTGTCAATGAAAGAGAGAAAGTTATATGACTCAAATGGAAAGCCATCACAACAATTCCAAAAACCAAACTTATTAATTCAATAAACAAACCGAGACGTCTGCAGATTGGAAACGTAAGACCAGAAATAATCACTGTCAATGAAAGAAAGTTATATGACTCAAATGGAAAGCCATCACAACGATTCCAAAAACCAAACTTATTAATTCAATAAACAAACCGAGACGTCTGCAGATTGTACTTGAATATCCTTTCTGAATTATTCTTTGCAACCAGGCCCAGTGATCACTTTGAGTAGGGGAGATCATGATGAGTGTCACCTGCAAAGACTGAGGCACAGAGGAAATTAAGGTCAGATAGGTCGAAAGGTTGACTTTGGATCTCTCTCACCATTTGATCGCACGGTGCTTTTAGATGGAGTTTTCCATTCCACGCATTGTGAGTCATCAAGTGTCCTGATGGTACAATACAAAGGGCTAGTGGCTAGGACAACCTGGAAGTTGACTTAATAGGGAGATTGCTAGAAAATCAGGGATAATCAGTATATATTCTTAATTTACTTTATTTTTTATACATGTGTTGAGATTTATTTTTTAAATATATTTTTATTGATTTCAGAGAGGAAAGGAGAAGGAGAGAAACATGTGATGAGAGAGAATCATTGATCATCTGCCTCCTGCATGCCCCCTCCTGGGGAATCCAGCCCAAAACCCAGGCATGTGCCCTTGACCAGAATCGAACCTGGGACCCTGGCACCACCCACAGCATATTTAGGTAAGTTGGAGTTTTAATCAAATCTGCAGGCTGATGCTCTATCCACTGAGCCAAACCGGCTAGGGCTTAATTTACATTAAATACTTCTTTCAATAACCTTCACGATGCTATCTCTTAAAAGCACCTGGATCATTTCCAGGGAGACCACCTCTGAATTAGGATATAAGCCACAAACGTAAACTCAGGAAAACACTGCATTTTACTGGAATATCTATACTACTTGTGGTATTCTTAACTATTATACCAATTCGTATATACCTGGAATGGAACACAAAGCAAGAACTCTGTTAATTTAGACACCAATATCATGGAACACATGCTAAAAGCAACATGCACTCCGGACAAAGCCTAACAAGGGAACTGTGAACTCCCCCAGCACAGGGTCCCGTTTCCCCTCCTCTGCCAGTGGGAGAACCTGGGTGCAGTTTGACACTAAGAGGGAAGAAAGCTTCCAGGTGTTTCCCACTGATGCCCTTGCCCTTGCCTGAGTGAACTGAAGGGGGATTTTTAAGGTCATCAGTCTTGAAAAGGTCCACTTGTGAGGGGCAGAGACAGCCAGCAGGTAGCTCTTATCTTGGTTGACATTTTCAGACAGATGAGCTGCCTGCTGTCTCAGGACCATCTACAGATGAACGTGGTTTCTAATTAATGTGGTGAAGAGCCACAACCTCAACTGACTCAAGGGAGTCACCCCTTCCCTTTATTATTATCTCTTATTTTTCAGGCATATGACCTGTTATCAGCAAGTACTGGTGCTGGAAGGTTTTGTTAAATTTCAAGAAATATTTAAGAGGCAATGTTCTACCTCAAGATTATGAAATCTTCTGTTTTAATACCTACCCTATTCATTTTAATCCATTGGGAACTTTTGTACATTGCTCAAATGGGAATCCATATTTCCCCTCAAATGAATAGGTGTTTATATTAAGAAAGTGAATGACTAATGACTGGGTAACAAAGGCTTTTACAAGATGTCTCTTATTCTTTACTGTTAAGAAAAAAATGGAGGAATTAATGGAGCTGCCAGCTCAATAAAAATAACTCAGCAAAAGATTACATAACTTTTGCATGTAATTTTGAAGCAGTTCAAAGAACTTAGTGACACAGCTCTAATCAGAGCCTTTCCAGTTTCATGTTTTTAATGCATGTGAACAAGATTTGCTTTTGCTTCTATAAAAAATAAGAGCAATGGTCAGTGACTCTCTTTAGATATATCTGACTTAACTAGTAAAAAGAAACTTTAATAACTTCCAACACACCACAACTTATATTTATAAATGAAGTTTTCTGTACCTGATTAGATGAATCTACTTAAAAACAGCCAAATACCTTTCATGATGAAATGTCAAACACAGTTACCTCTTTGCATGTCTTTTACAGGAGATAATCTTGATTGATTGAAATTTTCATTGGCAGCAGTTTTCACACAGCAGATTCGTTTTTTAAAATAGAATTAACCCAATAATGTGAATGCTTTGATTCTATAGATTTGGAAGAAATTCTTAATGTGGAAAGACTGGAGGTCTATAAAAATGTTAATAATAAAGAGGAAATAGAAGAACTGGTTTACCTACTTGTCCTTTAGTTGGCTTTCACTTGGTTTCACCTGTGGATGATTTGGTAAAGTTGTTACTAAGTGGAGGCAACTTTGAGCTACCACAAGTGTTTCCCACCCTCCCTAAGGGAAGAACTCACTGCAGGTGTAACGACCTGTAAACTTTAAAAACAAGCCACACGAAACAAACAAGATGGGCGAGAAGAAGCCAGAGCCTCTGGACTTCGTGAAGGATTTCCCCACAACTTATATTTATAAATGAAGTTTTCTGTACCTGATTAGATGAATCTACTTAAAAACAGCCGAATACCTTTCATGATGAAATGTCAAACACAGTTACCTCTTTGCATGTCTTTTACAGGAGATAATCTTGATTGATTGAAATTTTCATTGGCAGCAGTTTTCACACAGCAGATTCGTTTTTTAAAATAGAATTAACCCAATAATGTGAATGCTTTGATTCTATAGATTTGGAAGAAATTCTTAATGTGGAAAGACTGGAGGTCTATAAAAATGTTAATAATAAAGAGGAAATAGAAGAACTGGTTTACCTACTTGTCTTTGAGTTGGCTTTCACTTGGTTTCACCTGTGGATGATTTGGTAAAGTTGTTACTAAGTGGAGGCAACTTTGAGCTACCACAGTTTAGTGTTTCCCACCCTCCCTAAGCGAAGAACTCACTGGCTGGCTGCTTGTTAAAAACAGATTCCTGCAAAACATGGCGACGTACAAGGCGGCGGGGGTGACTCGGGGCAGCTGCCAGGCGACCTCCCTGCGGCTTTCCCATCTGAGCTGAAGGTCCCCCCACGGCCTGCGGAGCCCCCGGGTGCGTCTCCAGAGCACATGGCAGCTCCTCTGCACCTCGTCCACGCTGGAGTGGCCGGACCAAGGAGGCGCTGGTCCGCGGTGGAAAGTGTCTCCCCAGGTGTAACGACCTGTAAACTTTAAAAACAAGCCACACGAAACAAACAAGATGGGCGAGAAGAAGCCAGAGCCTCTGGACTTCGTGAAGGATTTCCAGGAGTACCTGACCCAGCAGACCCACCACGTGAACATGATCTCGGGGTCAGTGAGCGGGGACAAGGAGGCAGAGGCTCTTCAGGGAGCTGGGACAGATGGCGATCAAAATGGACTTGACCACCCATCTGTTGAAGTTTCCCTGGATGAAAACTCAGGAATGTTAGTAGA